CTTTTAAAATACGGGCCTTAGTCTGTAAACCTTCAATACCTATATCAATAAAAAAAAACATGAATACTTAATAAGTAGACACTATAATGACACTATTATCACGATGTCACGATAGTAGTAAGAATTTGAACAGTGTCAATTGTAAGCTCAGCACGCCATTATTATTGATTCATTCGTGAAACGATAAGCTCTGCACTTCAATGCTTTATTCGCTCGTTGAAGTGCCAATGAATTTCAATTGTTTTAGTTTACATTAATCGATGGTATATCAGTCTGTAACTGAGACACATTCTCTCGCAAAAAGCTATTGAAAGGCTACTGAATAAGATATCTTAAATAAAGGATAGACTTTGCTATTACATTTATCTACAAAACATAATTACTGTTCTTTTAAAACTAGTTACCACTTAAGCAAAATATAAGTTATACATACGTTAAGGCAAACGGTAAGCGGTTTACAAAGAAACATGTCCGCTCTTTAATAACTTTAGAAGCCTTTAAGATATACCTACCGACATAAACTTTACGAAGGTTTTCAGTAAAAGAAGTGTTGCAATAATACACATTTAACTTCGCAAATTCTTTCGGATATATGACACGTCTAAACTTATATTCAAAGTCACATCGATGCCTCAACTTACATACGTAACATCCGCGACGACAATCGTCGATCGTGCAACTTTAAATGTAAACAAATACATGACAACAATTAAATAATAAGCTCTGTTAATATTAATAATTCGCTCGTGGGACACAGAAAAGGCCACCACGGGCATTGGATCAGATTCTCGTGAAGCAATTATTTTTCCTGGGGTATGAAGCCATACGCGTCTACAGACTGATTTTTTTTTATTGATATTCTTGCAACTTATGCAAAAAATTACTGTAATGAGCTTATAAGCGCATATTTAAAACTGTAAGAAACTTATTAATACTTGAAATGCCACAATAAAGTAAGTACCTATTTCCTTTTTGGTTCGAGGCGTCGCTCATGAATGAATTGTATGCGCGGAACAGATTACTTTTGTAGGAATGTACCATATTCATCATAACCTTCTATTGTAAGACTACACAGATTTATTCAATTATTCAACACAAAAATCCTTTAAAAAAAAAAGTTGAACCGACTTCAAATAATACTAAAAAAAGAGCACTACAAAACCTAACGGCAATCACGGTTGATTTGCTGTCATTTTTTGAAGAGTTCCGTTGTCTGTCTCCGAAATGCATTATCAGATCTATATAAAGTGTCGCGAGTTTAATGATTTTTCCCATTTCAAACATACATTTTTTGTTTGTTGTTCAAAAATGCCCAACGCGACTAAAGTTTCACTTTAAAAAATAATTTTGAAAATCCGTCTATATATGACGGAGGTAAGCCCGAACGATAATTTTTTTTTTAAACATTCGAATTGATAACCTCGTCCTTTTTGAAGTCAGTTAAAAACTCGAAACATCAAAACACTTTTAGTGATATTGGAAATAAGGATTATTTCGCTAGGACGGGATCTTTTTGGAAAGCTTATAAAAAGACACGGCGACTTTGATACATTTACTTTAACATCCATTCAAACATCAAAGCCAAAACTTTTATTTTGTTTTGATCAAACAATCCCACCCTATATGAAACTATTCTATCGGTATTTCTCTCGGGAAAAAAATACGCGATCGAGTCTCTAAAAACCTATTTAGATACTGGAAGTTAAGCAAGATAGGTTGCAGTTTTGTGGTTAGAACTGGCGAGCCGTGACCATCAGCTCTGATTATATAGTTACATGAAAATTGAGCTCAAATACAAACTTGTTGTATTAACATATCAGATCCACCTGCCAAGGAAAGAGAGTTACGTATATGACTAGTTGGTCCTAGCAGCTTCATCCGCTTTTATAGTGACTACTTGTATGTTGTATTTAAGCAAGTATTTTTACTTTTTATCGTTCAAACTAATAAAACACGCCAATCTCTAAAACTTCAAGTCAGATTCGAATAAAACTATTTGTATTCGATAGATTATTGATTGAGGAAGGTCATAAGTATGTAACATCGCGCTATAGAAGCGAAACAGTGACAATAAACGCGCGTGAATACTGCGGAGAATACCTAATATAATAAATTAATGTCTTTTCTGTGTGGTGACGGCTTAGGAATACGGACTATCACCACCCCTATTCATCCCGTGGGTGTCGTAAGAGGCGACTAAGGAAGCAAACTACGCAGGACAATAGCACTGCAAAGGGAAGGAAAACTTGAAACAAACCCTATACCTGTCTGTCCACCGTGGTATAGTAGACCAAAACCTCCTTTCTAAGGAGAGCCCTACATATGTCAAGCAGTGAACTCTTAAAGGCTGTTGATGAATGTCTTTTAAACACGGTTACGCTGAGCTAGCATTATTAGTTTTCGAAATTTTCAGGCATCTTTTTCTGACCCATGTCACAACGAGTCTTTAATGAAAAGACCACCAGACGACAAGACATCAGAATATAACAACATAATTGCAAATCACTTTTTTAACCGACTTCAAAAAAAGGAGGAGGTTAGCATTTGGACTGTATTTTTTTTTTCAGCACAGCTTATATAATAATAACGATATAGATAGAAATATAGTTTTTTATTTTTCATTTTTATTCATTTATGGTCAATAATATAGAGCCTGTCCTGAGACCTTATCTTATGTAATGTCTTAAAATGGTTGACATTGTTGTCGCTACAGTATCAAATAAAATGAATACCTTTGGCAAATGGGAGCCTAAACGAAATGTATAAGCAGGACTCAATTATACTTTGAATATTTTATGAGTATTGATCAGAACTAGTCGTCTGTGTTATGTCTGTTGATATAATTAGACATTATATATTATTACTGTTATTGGAAATTTTTTGTTCACTCTGAAGAGTATACACAAAGGAGTTTAAAATTGAACTGAATTATGGTTTCACCAGAGTTAGAAATTATGTAGTAATTCAATATATTATTGACGGAAATCATAACGTTATTAGGAAGGATTTAAGTGAGGTGATAATTTTTACTGATTACAGTGCGAGCTTGTGAATGTGTTCCGATTATAAGACAAAAGATGATTGACAAAAACTTTTTAGTTCAAATAAGTTACATGGTATGATTTCAGTAAGTGATATTTTCGACATGACAAAAAATAAAGACTGCCTTCTTAACTTGAAACACTTCCAAATATTATTTTAGTCTAAATAAATCTAAATATTTTTTTTTAATAAATTATCAGTTCCTTTCAGTACTTACATTTAGATGACAATTTATTTTACAGAGATGTATTACAGCAAATGATTTTTATATATAAATAACTGTTACTTACTGTTTTTACTTACAGTATCGTTTTGGGATAAATCCTGTAAAGACACTGTAATTGTTTTTAATAAATAAATAAAATAAAATAAATAAATAAAATATTTTTTTATCAATTGTATAGTTTTAAGTTTTTTATCTGCTTTTAAAATCGGCGAAATATTAGATCACCTACTAAAAACACAAATTGAAAATTTTCTTGTCTAGTGTAAAATATTTTATGCCTCTCATATATTACTTGGAAAGGCTAAAATTACAAATTCACCGAGAACATGTTCTTCATATTTCTTTGCTCTTATCACTATCACTAACGATTTTACGTTTTACGTTTACGTTTACGTTTTACGATTAAAAGAAAGTGTGATATTATATTATGACTATACTAATATTATTATTGTGAAAATTTGGATGGATGAATGGATGTTTTTAAACGGCTAAACAGAATTGGACGAAAACAGAAAAATAAAAATTCACATTATCATATACAGAAAGGACCGAGGAAATTGGAGATTTGCCCAAGAAAAAGCATTGTTCATAAGGGAATCTGAATTAATAGAGAAAATCTACAAAAAAGCTTCAAAGCCGAGGCTAGAAGATTTATATTATAATACTAATATTAATCTACAATTGTGGTATTCAATATACTATGCTTTCCTAGAATTGTTTGCCTGACAATGTCAGGATTTCCTCGTATTTATTGTCAGAAATTATACACAGATACTGACTAGGTAATCTTTAGATTACAGTGCAATTAATTTACCTGTTTCGCAGTCTAATTGCCTAAATTTCCTGTTAATGTATATTTTTAACAGCAACGCCCTTGTCATATAAACTCAATTTTACGTACAATTATATAAAATAAAGTTAATTCTTTAACTGGTTTGTCTCTGAAAAGAGTTTTAGTCAAATAAAAAAAGTAATTAGATACTCAACGTGTTTTCTTTCTTGATGGTGAATGTGACATAGACAATGATTTATTTATTTACTTATAATATAAAGCACTTAGGGATAACACTTTAGTCGTCGTGTGTTTAAAATTTGCATAATCATTATCATTTCGAACTCATTAATCGTGATTGCTTCACTAAAAAAAAACACTCATAAATATTTTTCAGACAGTGCTTTAGATATTTTATATCACTAACAGGTCCATTTTCTACCGAGAACTGATATTCGGCACTGTAAAGAATTTAAAGAATTAAATATAAAAACATTGATATATTTTGTCGTTCGTATTAATCTTTTTTTTAGTTGTAGGTGATAATTTATAAAAGTTTGGCAATGTTTTAATCATATCTACTTTTTTTAATGGATGAGCACTTGTTTCGAACAATTATTAATTTACACTTTATAGCCAAAACCATTTTTAATCTCAGAACTAGTTTTATTTTTAGATATTTATGTTTTTTTTTTGTCTTGGTAAAATATTGCAACGCGTTCATGTGTTTATTACTTTATATTGCATTAATTTATAAATTTTATTTTATTTATTTAAACTGCCATAAATTAACATCTTTTTAGAAATAATTTATACCCAAACAAGAAAGTACACACTAAAAAAGTAATAACACAAACGTATTTAGTAAGAATTCATACTTCAAGAATATGTTTTTTTTCCACACAAAAAAGTCTAGATTCAATTTAAAAAAAAAACAGATTTAAAAAGAACAGTACTCACCATTGTGTACAGGTGTTGATTAAAAAGTTTGTGAACAAGGAGTAGTTGGCGTGGCGGGTTCGCGATGCAACACACCGGGCCTGACTGTGACGACCCCTGCTTCTCCACCGGTTTTATAGACGGTGGCACGCGCGCGCCTTATTCTGGACAATATGAAAAACAGGGGACATTAAATTTTCCTGTAGGGAAAAATTCATTCTCTTTGACTTTATTAATCGATTTTGATCTAGTTCATCGGTTGGCTAGACATTCCGATTATTAAAATGGATTCATTTGAAAAACAAAACTCGATATTGATGATCTAAGTATGGAGAATAGACATTGTTTACTATAGTTTCAATTAAATGTGTAAACAACCAAATGTAGTTAAGCTGTACTAAAACAAAACAATCATAATTAAACTAAAATATGTGAAAAAACATGTATAAATAAGTGTATTTATCATTATTATTATAGTTTTATCTACCTATTTTGTATGAGTTTTATAATAAACTGTTTCTATGAAGAAAAATTGAACAATATTTATCGTAAGATTAAACGACAACGAAAACTTTTATGTGTCATGTTTCAAATGTATATGAGTGGGTACCTCATACTCATGCCTTCGAGCTATATTCTAATTAATAAAAACACAAAATTTTGTATATTTTGTAAGATACGTATGAACTTTTAAAGTATTAAAATTAGACTTGCAACGAATATTCGGTTACTATTCGGTATTCGGCCTATTCGGCTGCTTTTATTATATTCGGCCGAATACCGAATATCTACATATTATTCGGCCGAATACCGAATACTTAAATAATATATTTTGTTATTGAGAAATAATTGGTAAAATGAAAAATTAAAATCGATTGATTACGTATATATTCATATTTTCATTTCTGTGATAATCATTTAAGTAGTCATTGGTGCATAACACAGGTACATAATCATCTTCTGAATTGGAAAAATGGAGGATTTTATGTATTTGAATTATTGTGGTAATCAAAATTTAGAAGGGTAAGTTTCTTATTTCTTTTATAATCATTTATTAATTAGTCATTGGTACATAAAACAGGTACATAATTTAATTCACGTCTGTACAAGTTTTTGGCGCTCAAATCCAGCCGAATACTTTTGCCTAATATTCGGCTATTCGGTCAGGGGCCTCGCCGAATATTCGGTATTCGGTATACTGCCGAATATACTATTCGTTGCAAGTCTAATTAAAATCCATAAGTTGTGAGATCGAAAGTTAATCGGAACTGAATTGACACCGAACTTTGATTACGAGAGTTGACCTTCTGGTCAATATAATAACAAGTATACTTCTCATTCCTTGTCAATACCGCTGCACAAGTCAGCTTGCTATAAGTACCTATTAATTTGTTTTTGGTTTTAAAGACAACTCCCGCATTAGGAATGTACAACCAGACTCAGAACAACTATTTGTGGATCACACAAAGTGTCGACCCATGTGGGGATCGAACCCACAACACTCAGCGTAGTAGGAAGCGGCGTGGCGACCTTAAACCATTACACCATCCGTACAGTCCGATTATATGCGTATTAATTTTAAAAAGAAACATAGAAAGAAAAAGCTACAAAATCTATGAGTAATTTTTTGTTAAGTATAATGTTGATCTCACAAATAAATAAATAGTTCGGTACTTCTAACAATATACGAGTAAAAGCGTAGTGAATTTGAAAAGGGCGTTAAATGCCGCTCTATTGAGGTAACATGTAAAACTTAGAACTATAGCGGAATAAAAAACTAACATACTCGTAGGTAGACCAACTCTAAAAACTTCCAATACTAATATTTTTATGGGCAGTTGCGTAAAAAGAGGAAATTCTTGACCAAAATCATCTCTTTGTTCCAGAATAACACGGTTGATTCACTCTCTCATTCGAATAGTGTATTCAGACGTAGGCCAATTTTTCAGATTTAGTCGTGAACTATGACTAAAGCTCCGTGACTAATGAGATATACAATATGATATTAAAAGCCAAGGTATTTGATGACTGATCAACTTTATATTAAATAGGCTGGAACTTGTCATAGTCTATTGCACCTATGATCTTCTGAATAAATCAATCTTATACAAAATCTCAGTTAGTTGCATAGTCCCGAAAAGGCTATAGCTTCATCATGTCTTTGTGTCTGTCCGTTTGTGGCTTAGTTTAGCATATTAACTGAAAACCTGCAAAATTTGAAATAAACAATTTTTTATGGTAGATATAGGCGATAGAGGGTCTCTTGGCCAAGTGGTAACCGAGTAGATTAACACATTGGAAAGTTAAGCAATCTTAACCAGGTCAGTGAATGGATGGGTGACCATTCTTAACACATTCGACTGCACAGATGGCGTATTGGCTTCGCCACGCCGCTTCCTACTACACCGAGTGTTGTGGGTTCAAATCCCACATGGGACGACACTTGGTGTGATCCACAAATTGTTGTTCTGAGTCTGGGTGTTCTTTGTGTCCGTTACATGTATGTTTGTAAAGTCCCCCGCGACACCGGATATATTCCTAATGCGGGAGTTGTCTTTCTAAACAAAACAAAAAACAAAACAAAACATTGCGACTCCTGCCTCGGTGACCACGTTAATCCTTCGGTCCTGGTTGCCATACGAACATCTGTTTCAGTCTTTACGGGCAGTCGGATCCCTAAAAAGTCTGCCAACACTCTATTTACAGAACTGGACGATATCGCCTAGTACTTGGGTTGTGGAGGTCTGAAGGCAGTCGGCTGGCAATAAAAATTCAAAGTTCAGCCTTATGGCAGTAGGCTTAAGGCCGACCCAACCCAGTTTGGAAAAAAGGTTCTAAGGAAGAAGACATAGACAACAAACGAGCACCTGGGACTGTTCAGGTAACCTCACTCTCGACGAAAAGCAACGAAATAATTGCTTAACAGCGGTTTTCTGTGAGGACCTGGTATCATTCCGGTCGAGCCGGCCCATATTATGTGTCGAATACATCCCCGATTATTTTTTTTTAATTTAATTTTCCTAATTTCTATAAATAACTCACTTACACACACCGTGTAGTAACTTATTAAGACTATATTAATATAGTAAGACTATAAATCTTCAAAACTTAAATTACCTATACCTCCCCTATAATTAAACTTCTTATTAACAAATACTATATAGGTACCAATTCTATTTAGGACTTTGTTTTATCGTAGTGTTTTGTTAAATTGTTGAACCTTTAAACAATTTAACAAAACTCTACTAGAAAACAAAGTCATTTAAAACAATACCTAATCTTTCGGCCCCTTGCTAATATAATAATAATGATGATATAATATTCTACCACATTCACACAACGCCATTTAGTCCCAAACTAAGCAGAGCTTGTACTATGGGTACTAGACAACTGATATAAATACATATATACTTTTTTTTTTGTAAATACATACTTATTATACATAGAAACACCCAGATCAAATCAAACATTAAATGTTCATGCACACAAATGTTTGACTTCAGCGGGAATCGAACCCGCGACCTTTGGTATAGCAGTCCGTTACACAAACCACTACGCCATCCGGTCGACTGATAGTAGTCGTAATAAACAAAATAAAATATTCGGGCATTTAAAAATTCAATGAATGATATTAAAAATATATTTATGCAATAAACAATCCTAAATACGTGCATTTCTTTTAAAATAGACAATAAAACCCTTTGCACTCTCAGAAATAGCATTAATCGCGCCGCGGTCACTGTTCCGAGCGAAATGGATAAACGTGATAGCAGACGGTTCATTTTTTGTTCTCTTAGCAATTTAGCATTAGCAGTTTTAGCAGATTTATTAAATTAAATGTAGTCTTCGCGTTGATGCGAATTAGAAAGCGCGCGCTGTGTGAATGTGAAGTGCTAACGAATGAAGCGATGAAATTTCGTATACGTATTAATTCATACGTTCACGAAATTTCGCGACTATAATTAATTTGCTAAATGCTAATTAACAATTTACAATTAAATATGAGTGTAAAGACTAATTATTTCATCACTAACATATAGTATTTGTTAATAAGAAGTTAAGGTATAGGCAATTTAAGAAATAATCAACTAAATCTGGTCCAAAATTATTTGCAAGACCAATCTCAATTGGTTCGTATAGGTGATACGCAAAGTGTTGAAAATCCTGTGAATATTGGCGTCCCTCAAGGTAGTATTTTAGGCCCTACCCTGTTTCTTTGATACATTAACTATCTATGTCAATTGAATATTCAAAACTGTCAAGTTGACTATCGCTTATCTTTTAAAAATCACATTTTAAATTAAATGCAAAAAACAAGAAAACTAGTCTATATTTTTAAGGATCTAAGCCATGTTGCAAATTGGAAAATTATTAAAACAGTGTACGAATCTCTTTGCCAATCGATTATCTCATACGGTATATCTATCTGGGGAGGCATGTACGAGTAAAAAGATCATATTTTAAAAAATAATTTCCTAATCTGAGAGAGGCGAGCCAGTCCGAGGAGGAGGAGAGTCCATAGCAAAGGGTATTCTAGTTTGTGCTCCACAAATATCTGGATTCAAACGCAACTATTTAAACACTTTTATTTTCGTACATTTAAACCTGTTCAAGGTTTTTTGTAACTTATTTGTGGAATTGAAATAAACATTATAATTATTATTACTTATTAACACTAACTCTTCCACAATTTATTATGATTTATATAGAAATAAAAGCAATTAATAGGTACTAGATACCATATCATAGTTTTATAGGCTGATCTGAGTCACGGTACCTAGCACCCTGCTCGATTCAGAGGTACTTATACTCGTGTAATACCTTGTAATTGCATTAATTTTTGAATAAAAAGTTATATACATTCGCACGTCCACATCCCAGGGGAAATTTGAAGTTGCACCAGGGACTTCCTTTCTAGGGTATACCTGGTTCCCTGGCTATTAGTACCCGAGACGGCGTGCGGTTTTAGTCGGTTCGAGTCCGACAGGACACCGATAGGTGGTATCCGAGGGGATTTCCGCACG